TCGGCTACTTCACGAAAAACACACGCGTTCACATTATTTTTAATTTTTTTTCGAATAATTCATACAGTTTGTGGAAGTCCCATAACAAATGGTGTATGGTATAAAAATTAAATTAAATCGAAAATCCATATTTCAATACTGTACAAATCTAATCTGGTCTATATCAAATCGATGAATGCATTGGGTTTATTTGCAGTGATATATATATAGTTTCTTAATACGTTTCTAGAGGATAAGTACCCTGAATATGTTATGCAGAGACCCTAATCGTTAAAAAAAGAATTCTGTTTGTACTATACCAATAGTACAATTCTTAAAACTCTGTAGTTTTTTAGAAAAATACAAACTCGTAAAAATAATATGATATTTTTTTTTCTCGAAATTTATTAGGATATAAATGTTTAAATTTATTAAATTTGAATTTACCATAGTATCTTTAGATCAATTATAATTTCAAATCATCCTTTTTAACTGCTTCTGGATAAGTTAATGACATTTTAATTTTAATTGATATTAATATTTACTAAAAAATAAAAGCTAAGAATATTAATGAAAAATTACTTTTAGATTATGATTGAAATAATGATTGTTATGAGTTTACCACAATGTAAATAGTTTTTACTGAATCTGTAGCCAATTAATGTCGATAGTAGGCGAGGATTGTTCGCACATTTACTGACGAATAAAATACTTATTTATTTGAGAATTTCGAGTGATTTTTTTAATTTTCATAAGTTTAAAATACGATTCGAGGAAAAGTTATGATTAGATAAAAATATAGTATGTGTTCGATCGATTGTGTGATGGTTCTCTGTATAGGCGATTTCCGTATACCGGTGGTAATTTACATCACAAACATTGACGCTCACCGATTTTTGTTAGCTCAGTATATTGTTTGTTTATTCTAAGTATATGCTTTACGTTATAACGGAATTCAGCTATTTAAGGCAATTGTTATGATACCTACGAATATGTTTGCTTTGAGTTACAGGTATAGCCATCGTACATCAACTCGTTCGTATAAAAATAAATTATATCTAAACATTTATCGAATTTAAACGTTATACGGAAGAATAGGTATATAATATTAACTTAAATACAAAGAAACAAAAGTGGTCTACTTGTGTTTTAGAATAATAATGTTTTAAGTTCAATCATGCTTTGATCTAACTATAAATCACCACTCTCAAGCCCGTTCAGAAATATTTTGTGGCCCGGGGCAGAATCGAGTTAGTGACCCTTTATATATGTATATAAATACATTTTATGTTAAGATATTAAATCTACATAATTTCCACAAAAACGTGCTAGTAGTTCTTAAAGTTATTACACTGTCATTTAAGTTGGATTTCCATAAATAATGAAAAATTATACAAGTCACCCGATATTGTATTGTACGAGTATTATAAACATCGTAATACATATATTTAATATCTTTTGAAAAAGTACAGTTTATTAATAATCTTGTAAATTTTAATGAGATATGTAATAGGTATAAGATAATAATGATTAGGAACTTATAAAATTACTTTTACTGTTTTTCTTCAGCAAAATCATCAATTATAGTTTCATAATCGATAGATCTTGCAATTTGGTTTTCAATTGATATAATTAACAAACTATTTAATTAGTCTTACTTTTCCTGTGGTTAAATGCAAATTATTTTTTATTTTTTTCTAAACGTTCTCTCTCCCAAGGCTACCGAAAGTAGTATTATTATTATTATTAATATATTCCGTCAGCCACTATAGTGTTTTGTTGAGACATCAGAAAATTTAAATATTCTTATTAAAAAATATTGAAAGCACTTGATTTCTTATTGGACGAACTTTAATATAAAAATTAAATTATATTTTAGATTAATACTTTTTAGATCAAATCGTATTGATGTGACAAGTTAATTTAAATTAATTCTTATTTTATTGGATGGAATATAAAAATAAATTAAAATTAAAGTGTAAAATTTTAAAAACACTGTAGCCATCTATATATTGAAATATAATTTAAAATGCAAACATTTAAACTCAAATTAATTTATTCATCTTTTTAAAAAAAAAACATTTATATCTATTGTTGGTTTTTGTATAAAAGTATTTTATACATTTAAAGTTTTGTATAAGTTATACGAATAATATCACTTGTCGTTTCTCTTACTATATATTTTTAATAATATTGTATTAAATATAAGTTCCAAATGGTTATTAAACTAGATTGTATAAATAAAAAGAATGTATCTTAAGATTTAAAGAAATACTGCGAAATAACATAAGAATTATCGGTGAGAATAAATTAAATTAACAGTAGTTACCTACTGAGAATGAGCTTCTTTATTTCAATTCAAAATATAATTCTATAGAATTTTTTAATATGGAATTGCAAAGACATAATTTTTAAAGATATTTAAATTTTTTTTTTTGTATTCGTGCATTTATCAGAATTTATTCTATGCGATAAATGTTATTGCAATTAATTTTACATACATTAGAATATGGTAACTAATAGTTTTATAAATCAAATTAAATAAATTATTTTTATACCTTAGAATTTATAATACATTGAAAACCAAACTGTTTTGGTTGTTTTAGAAATATCGTCCATCCGTTCTTTCTCGTCCAATAGAAATTTGCGCTTGACGCGTAACTTCACTAGTGTTTACAAAAATGAACCATATTTATACTTAAAAGTTATATACATATATACATATTTATATACATGAACTACACTTTAAATTTTATAATATTCAATTAAAAAATAAAAACCTCATTTATTGCTCACAGAAACTATAATAGTGAATATAGTGAATATCTGTCCGTGATGTTGATAAGTGGTTTTTATGATTGCTGTATTTATAAAATAAAATGATTTCATGTTTAAATTACAACGCAGTGCTTGCACAAAAAATATATATATCACATATAATATTGCGACCGTAACACAATATTATCGTACAACAGATCTTTCATAGAATATCAAATCTATTCATTCATTTTTATTTTTAATTTATATATATTATCATTTATATAAACTTCTGTACTTAAATCTTAAATACAGAATCTCAAATTTAAAATTTAAAATCTTTGGGTTAATTATTTTGCCTCTGAAATTATTATCTTTAATTTCTATGATTTAAGTAAGTAAATTAATACTTCCGGGAATGATTCAATGAAAAAGTCAATATCATAATAATAAAAAATTAAAAATAATCACCAGTTAAACAGTATCTTTAAACATTAAATATTTAAAAATAAATAATTTTTAGAGCAAAAAATAAAAATAAAAAATATAAACATAATATTTTATCAAAAAAAAAATAAATATATTCAATTATAATTATTAAATTTGTATAGTATATCGTTTGTTGCTAATATAATATTTTGCATGTGATTATTTTTCTTGTGATGATATCATATTGGGTTATTTATCAATCAGAAATTTGAATTAAATTAATTGTATAAAAATAATATTAAATTGTTAATTATCTATTAAATGCAAACAAAGCGTTTGTTGATAGCAATTATAGGTCATAATTTTCATAATAATACCTTAAATATTAAGACTATACAAGACGAGTATAATTATTATTATTATTATCATCATCTCAAAAAAATCTTGCTCTCTAGAGTTTACTTTAGTAACTGTGGTTAGCAAAACAAGGTTAAGATTTTGTTGAAAAAGGATGTTTTTTTATCTAACTCATTTTGCTACTTTCGTAATTTTTTGAGCTTTCAAACTATAGGATTTACTTCTAAAAAGTGTTTCCTTAGAGAAAAAAAAACAATTCTTCTTAAAGCCAATAGCTCCCTCGAGCTCTACTCAGAATCTACAGTCTTACCTCATTGTGAAAAGGTTAATGGAATATAAAGGGAAGTAATATCTTAATTAAAGCCAGATTTAATTGATATTGCAACATCAAATCTGATAAAATGTACAGTCCATATGTACTTGAAATGTGTTATACCTATTTAATTTTATAATGTGATTTTTTGCAATTTTCTACGTTTTTGAAATTTTATAAAATTGTATGTGTTTAAATGAACAAAATATTTAACTCAACTAAATTTATTGTATAAAAACGCTATTATGACCAAATTTTTGTTGCGACTAAATAATCTGTAGTATTACCATAAAGCCATTCGATATATTTTTTGCTAATTAAATTAATTAAAATAGCAAATGTTGTATAGTTAATAATAATTATGATTAAAAAAAAATCCTACTGGACTTATATTTTTATTTATTTTATCCTAGTATATCTACGTATGTAAAACGAAAAAAACAAATTTGTACACGACTTAATGAGTTCTTAATGTTATATCAATATCAATGATTTGTTTTTTTTTTTGATAACTGTTTATGATAAAATTTTTATCGTCTACTGTCAAATTTCTTAACCAATGATAACTGATTCACCACGATATGAACATTCTGCACAAAACAATTGACTATTATTGACTGTTACCAACTGATTTTAACTATTTACTATTTATCTCTCGTGACGTTAACTGTAATAAAATAATCAATATAAAACTTCTGTTCCAGTGTTAATTGCTAAAAAAGATTGATTTATTGTTATACAGTCACCAGATTTATTTTTTTAAACTTCCAAAAGAAGATGAACCATGGTGAAAAATTGAAAAAACGATCTCGCTTACAGTAGAACAGTTGAAAATACCGTACGTGCATATCGCAGCAAAATATGTCATATTATTGATCCCCCAGCGGGTTGTAATCGAAAAAAAAAGAAGAAAACAACAACAACAACAACAACGAACGTCAAAAGATTTTTAAGTGGTGATGTCTAGAAGCTTTCTACTGGCGAGTGAAATTGTTTCGGGAACTGTAAACATTTACGCGTCAATAGAACTCGGGTCGAAAACGTTGGTTTTTTCTTATTTTCCCGTTTTAAAAGCACGCCGACCGCACGACGACACGGTCATCGTTTTGCCGGCCGTCTCGGTGAAACTCGACGAGAACGGTACCGCGGTAAGGTGCTTACTAACCTGGTACGCGGGCTTGTTGTAACCGTCCGGCCGGGTCTTCGGGTCCATGTCGAGGAATATGCACGCCGTGTGCTCGGTGCTGGAGAACGTGTACGTAACCTCGCCGTGCCTGGCGAGCACGGGCAGCGCGAGCAGCACGATCAGCACCCACGTGACGATGATGGCGGACGACGCGTTGCGCTCGGTGCGCACGTAGATGGACGCGATCGGGTGTACGACGGCCAGGAACCGGTCGAGCGACATGAGCACCAGCGTGTAGACGCTCGCGTACGCGGTGACCACGATCAGGTACTGGACCATCTTGCACCAGACGTCGCCGAACGGCCAGTACGGCAGCATGTAGTCGACCGCGGTGAACGGCACGCAGAACACGATGAACAGCAGGTCGGCCAGCGCCAAGTTGATGATCAACAGGTTGGTGGTGCTGCGCATCTGCTGGTTGGCCATCACCACGATCACCACCAGCAGGTTGCCCAGCAGCCCGACCACCACGATGATGCCGAACAGTATGGGCACGGCCAGCGACACGATCCGCTCCACCTGCACGCACGCACACATGTTAAACACATGTCACATGTCACACACGTTAAATGATCTCGATTCATCGATTTTTTTTTTTTTTTTTAATCCTACCGTCTGTCGTACCGGGCGTCGTGACAGAACCAGGGCCGTTGAGAGGAACGGGACCGTTTGATGTATAGTAATCGATAATAAGGCCTGGATTAAACTGAGCAATTTTACACGCTGCGTGTGGGCGATTAAAGTCGCGCGCGTGTGAACATATAGCGACTTGTCCGATTGCATTAAGCGATTAAATCATAAATAATATGAATAATATTCAATTATATTATATAAGTATATAACGCAATACATGCATTTAAATGAGTTTGATTGGTTAAGGTTTGGAAAAATACGTTTGCAAGAATTTCGTTATTCTCAGTGAGTATTGTGTTTATCATATATTATTATTATGGTCGAAGGGCCCCCAAACTAATTTGCCCCTGGCCCTGAAAAATCTTGGAACAGCCCTGGACAGAACGAGTTGTTTGCGCAAACACCACATGCACGCACACATTATGCGCGCACCATACGCTTACGTACGCGTTCGGTGTTCTTTTGATTTCGATCCATAGACACAGAAATGGAGATCGTGTGAACTCGCGGTACAACGTCGGTGTTTATGCCCAGTTTTTTTATTCGAAATAATCGATACTGACGACGATATTATTATCGCCAGTGCTGTAATGACATTATTATGACGAGTATTATAAAAAAAAAAGTTGGAAAAAAAACAGTCTCCGGTTTTTTAAGTCGGTGATATTTTTAAAAATCGCGTGACGGATTCGTTGAACGATTTGAGAACGAAGCTGTTCGTTTTTCAAAATTCTGTCGAATGAACAATAGCGAATTTAAAATTCTGCTCAGTTCAATTTGACCTAAAATCGCTAAAGGTTAGAAAAATCAGAAAAGCTATATCGACGAACGAAAGACTCCACGTTTTCATTATTTAAATATCACCATCGAGCATAAACAGCGCAAACGCGCAAAACCCCGTCCAACAGCCGTCATAAACAAATCTAATGTACCGCTATTATCGCAATCAGTGGTGTCACGAACCATGATTTTCAGAAGCTGTTGCTTCTGGAATTTAGATTAGATGGGTAGTGGAATGTAACTTGGTAACTTATTGGTAAATGATTAGGTATATTGGAAAATAGCAGTCAAATTTGTATGAAACTTAAAATTTAAGGTGTAGAGTGAACGCTAATACTGAATCGATTGGTGGAGGGAGGGATAATTAATAAATTGTTCACTTCTAAATGTTTATAGTTCTCTACATCACTGATCGCAATCATGAAATATGCGTGTACTGTTTGCAAACACGTCCACAGTATCTTTGTTTTTCGGGTATTCAACATATTTTCGTGCTTTTTATTTCATGTTTGCGTGCTACGAAGATGCACCCTTAGACCCCATCTACGTCCTACGATCTGAGCGCAATACAACACACTATAGGGGCAATAGACTATCAAAGGTGACATAAAATTAAAAAAAAGTTATGTTAATCTTTGTTACCAACATTTTTGTACGTTTTCTATAGATTCATCTATACGATTCGATAGATTCAGAATCTAAATTCCACTCATCTGAAACAGAGAGCACTTCGTTTGTCATCAGATATTATTATCAACTTTTACGTTTGTTATTTTAAATGTTCACGTAGTTTTTGAACTTGTACTTGTTATCTATATATTTCTTTTCTATTCTTATCCATTGTAGAAGAAATACAATATTTTTTTAACATATTCGCAATTTTTTCATAACTGTTTTTTATATATAAATAATGCGTAATGGTTTTTATATCAATAAACAAACAGTAAAATATAAAAGTTTGAAATTTCGTTTTTTTAGTGCTTAATATACTTATAAATTAACACAAAAAAAAAAATAATAATAAGTTCGAGAAGATGATTAAAATAATATCGGAGAAAATAAAAAACTGATACAAAACGAATTTATAGAAAAAATAGGTTTGATCGCAGATAAACCAAAATATATATTTGAACATTTCAATAATGGAGATACAGAAATCTCTGAATATATAACCCTAATAAATATAGAACTTAATAAAAAAAAATGCATATAATATTGAGTGTTATATCTATTGGACATCCACGTTAAAAAGTTTAGAGAATTTTCATATAATACTGTCAGATATTTAGTAGAGAACTATTATTGAAATCATATATCTCCTACATTACATAATTGCATAAATATTTTATTCGTGGGACAGAAATAATAGAATTTTCATTATTGTCGATTAAAAACTTAACAGAAAAAGCACATTAAGATAGAAAGAAAGGTTTTTCTTTAAAAAAAAAAAAAAAAAACAATAAAAATAATTCCAGAAAATGTAGAAAAAACTAACACGTATATATTTAACTTTTTTTATTGAGTTTTGATCCAGTCATCTCAAGCTTACTTATAGTTAAATACACATTTAAAATACTAAGAATTGTAAAAATATAAAAAAAAAATTATTCAAATCTTAGAATAATTGTACACAGAAGTATTATTAAAAGAAATCAATTCATAAATGATTTAATGCTGCTTTTGGTAGTCTATTGTCCCAATTCGCGAAGGCGTGCTTCGATATCGATAAGTCTTTAACGATACGCAAGCGTTTAAAAATATCTGTTTGACTTGTCATTCAGCCGAAGCCGTTCAGGCCTCGCGTGTTTCACGCGTAAACACACGTAATTTCAACCGCTAAGGATAATAATATACTAGTTTTTTTCCGTGCAATTCTTAGTGTATTTGTGTGTTCGTGACACAGAGATGTGATTATAATTTCTATATGTTTCCTAGTTTTTTCACGGTGTTCTTAAAATTATTTGAAAAAACTATATAAAATTTGGTTCGTTTTCATGATGCATCGTATAACATCGGTGGCACGAACAAAATTTTACAAAATTGTTATGTTATTATATTATTTATTTTAAGTGTTTGTTAAAAATATTTATTACAATTACACTATTGCTTTAAATTCATAAATAAACCTGATCATTGAAGTCAAGAAAATATTTTTAAGTACCATCGTTTATTATTTAAATCAAGTAACTTTTACACGTATAACATAAGCGGCTAATCGACTCTATGATATCATGCGACATATTTCAACTCTCATTATATCGTTAAATAATCATTTTATTATTTTTTTGAACATCGAATTTTCATTTAACGTGTTTCAATATTTTGAATACACAATATTAAGTTATTAGACTTACAAAAAAAAAAGTTAGTGTTTGGATGCCCTTTAGATAACTCGTGGATCGTAAAACAGTTATGGTGTTGTGAATAATTTTTACCGACGAAGCTTTGTTAAACTTGCAAGGACACCCCCATCATCAGTATATAGGATACTCGTATTAGGTTAATGGTTCGTGTGGGATGGGAGGAGAAGAGTCAGAATACAATTTTTACCCAAAAATATAAACAAGCACGTATCTGTCTCATCTTTCAAGGCTTTAAATATTCTTCGAGGGGGTCGTCAACAATACCTCCCACCTTCAATAGAGATCAAAATTTGAGAGTACCTCTTAAAAATTGGTATACGGTTACATCGATTGTATTTACCACCGCTTAGAGAAGTGCAGATATTTTGTCCTGTGGACTACACAAACGATTTCTACGTGTTTTTCTTATTTTACAGTGTTTACAAAATCAATTCCTTGTAGAAATATACATATACATAACATGCGAACTATTATAAATACATAACGAGTAAATACCTACGTATCTCGAATTTTCGAGTAGAACATGAAATTAATCAAACGGCACTATTTATATCCCTTATTAAAAACATGTCGACGGTTCTTTATCATTAGATAAGTCAATTTCGGAAACGTATTATGCGGATTAACGAGAAAAACTTCAAACACTTTGAAATATTTAAACCGTACGATAATCGATAAAATGTAAACTTATACATGTATCCGTATTGTGTGAAATGGTGAAATGGGATTGAGTTAGTATCACCGTCCCTCCGTTGTAATCAAACCTATGGGTAGTCGCATGTGTAAAATATGATATAATTTGTTTATATGCCGTTTCTTTATTCGGTTTGAAGCATTATATACGCATAACCACATAATCTAATTTCATAAAAATTTGATACAATTCGAGAAAATGTTCATGTGACTGATACCAGAAACAATGGATACGCTATTCATTTGTTAACAAAGACACATTACGTTCTAATTTTAAAAATCAACAACAGAGTTCGAAAGATGGGCTGAAACTAAACCTGGTAATCTGCTACATATTAACCATTCTGCTATTCCATCAACTAAAGCTTTTTTTTTATCTATTACTACGGATTTTGTACGCTATCATTGCTATCATTATTAAGTTGGTTACGTTTATAACTAATAATAAAGTACCTGTATAAGCACATTCAAATAAATGAAATACATGCATCAACAAAAAAATACTGTTTACTTTACTAATCTAAATTTTAGATACACAATAGGTAACTACTAGGTTTCTACGATTTTTTGCAAACCAAAATTGTAACTATAGTATTAGGATGGATGAACTTTTTAGATTAGGATAAATAAATAGTTTGATTATGCGTGCAATAACTGTTTTTAATTTAATCTTGTCGAATAAAAAGTAAAAAATATTATTTAAAACTTTTCTTGGAACTCAAACGAAGAATGTTGATCAGCGTTTTAGTATTTTTAGTTAAAGTTATATAAATTAAACGATTGACCAATTTTGATACATATTATTATAAAACATTGATGTTTTAAATTGAAAAAAAAGTCTTTATTTTTTATTCAAACCATAAATAGCCAAATAGTTTAAAATTTGAAATTTCGCAAAACAAAATAATCAATCTGTATCAGTAAATTATGAATAAATAACAAATTTATAATCATCACTATAAAAATAAATTGTTTAAAATTACACTATTAGTATAATTTAAGAACTACAAAATTTAAAAAAATTATTGATATTGAAAATTATATCTTATA